TTGAACTCCACGACGAACGTGCTCATAATCCTGTAATCTACGTTAATAATTTATGTTGGCTTATCTACCTTTCCGGAATTTCCCGCGTAAATATGAATTTGTGTTCATTTTATGAAACCCTGTGAATCACAGAAAATCACCGTCCCTGTCCCTGTTCGGAATACATATTCGATCCGGAAAAACCATCAATAATACACATTTACAGAAACTACGCGTCCCTACTTTGACTTGAACAGATATCTTGAATTTTATAGCAAGGTAAGCATTTTTAACAGCCTAATTTACATCATTATACTGATCAACGATGAAAATATATAATTCAGACGCGCATTTCTTCTTCTGCAATAGATTAAAAATGGACTCGTATTCACCCTTACTACCGCCAATAGACTTTTAAAAGTTACCTGGGAATTTCTTGAAAATGGCATCGAACACATTATGAACAGATTAGAAGAGGACTCAGCTATAAACGTTACATGAATTTACATATGTATCCTTTTCAAATCTTAGAAATGCATAGTTGTTATGTTTTAGTAATCCAGCTTTGGGTAGTCATTAATTTGCGCAATCGTGATAATAGTTCATATGATTTTCGATACAATTATCGTACAAATAGTCGCATATGAATCTTGGATTTACTTCCGAACTTCTCTCAGGTCCTGGCTCTAGCATAAAATAATCGAGATATAAGGTTGCATATGAATTTTATTATAGCTAGCATGCAAATCCGTTCTTATATTGATTTGAAACAAGTGCCAGAATATTCAAGAGTACCTTCAAAGATATCTACAAGTCATTAGTGAGGTATAGCCATATACACACCCTTACAATAAAATTACCGGAAATGATTTATTATTATGATTATTATTATCAAAAACGAAATTTTGTGCTCTATATAACAATTTTTAATTTTATTAATAATCTTCCTCTATTTGTTGCCTACGTATTTAAAGCTACGTAATCAGTTACGCTTTCTAAAAATATTTTTTTATTTTGATTTTCAAAAGGAAACATTCTAATCGAGAAATTACCCTAAAAATTTTTTAGATGTAAAATATACGTTTACATATGTGTGCTGCAGAACGAAAACCTGTAACTGATCATAATGATTTACTATGATCAGTTACAGGTTTTTGCTCTGCAGCACTCATATAAAAAATTTTTAGGACTAACCCTCCTCGGTTAGAACTTTTTTTATTACGTGAAAAATTTTAAAATTCCAAAAGGCGCTTTAAATAGGCAACAAATAAAGAGATTATTACGTAGTAAAATTAAAACTTTTATATTGATATAGTGCATAAATTTTCGTTTTTATTAATAAAAAATTATCATCCCGGTAATTTAGTGTAGGGGTGTATATATATTTCATTTAATGTTTAAGAGCTCGTCGTGATTTCGTTTTTCTCAATACCCGTATCGTCACGAAATAATGTTCCGGGCGACACAATTCCCAGAAGGCTAAGAATTTAAACAGTATTTTATTTTTTAAAAATCTTTGTCAAAATTAATCCTTAGCTCTCTGGAACTTGTGTCACCCGGGGCGTTATTTTACGACGATAGATACGGTACATGGATAAGAACGTTTTACAGTATTACACGGAAACTGAGAGAATATACTATAGCATCAGCATGTTTGCATTATGTTTTTAGATATCTTAATCGTCATTGGGTGAAAAGGAAAATTGATGAAGGCTAAAACCGTTTACGATGTATTAAGAAAGCTCTTTAATTCAATTCGTAGCATATATTTTTTGATGAGTAGCTTATTCTTGTTAGTCGGCAAGATAACACGTTTATGCACGTTGAGCGTAATGTTATGACTGTTGTACTAGCACTAATCGAACGTCAAAGGAATGATGAGTCTATCGAACTAAACTAGTGAAGAGTGTCGTTGAATCTTTTGGTAAAGTTTTTTTTGTAAGATGCATATTGTTTATGATTAGCTTAACATTGAATTAATAGTAGTTGCTATTGGTCTTGACGGTGCTAATTTCACAAAGCCTATTCTTACATTTACAAAAAGCATTTTGAAGAACCATTCGTAAAGGTATCAGAATTTTATTACAAGACCGAATAATGGAAATATGTCTCCGAAATAGTGTTACAGATTATCTGAAGGTGTGTGAAATAATTTGTTGCGTTATAATGTAGGCTGAGGCGAAGTTAGCTAAAGAGGAGAGTGTTAATTGCATATATTTGCATCAAAATACCCATAAACAAGTAAACCATTTTACTTTTAAGCCAGTCATTGACATGTTATCATTATTTCATTGTTTTGACTTTAAGCATTTTTGCACAGCTAATTTCCACGTGCGAACAAATTCTTGTGTGTGTTTGATGAATTCTAAAATTTGGGGAAGTCAGTAGAAACCAAGCAAATTTTTTTCGACAATTTTTTTTTTTTAAAACTAAAAATCAAATTTGTTAAAATTTTTACATTCTATAAGTTTATAAAAATTTTTATTAAATTTGATTAATTTTCTTATTAAGACATTTTTGGTTAAAGTTTTAAAAAAAATATTTATTATAAAAAATTTGCTTGATTTCTATTGACTCACTCTCATCTACTTAATCAAGAAAAATGGAATATTTAAATCGGATCGTTCCTTGACACAATCGGCACAAAAAATGTTACGATTCCGTGAAAGCTAGCACTAATCGTAAACATTAAGGCGTAAGCAGGTAACTTTATTATATCGATCTTCTCGTTAGATTAAAAGGTGGTCCATAGCTAAGGGTAGAAGATTTTACTTAT